TCTCTGGTATTTTGTTAGTGACACAACACTGTACTGACTAACACAGTGCCTCAGGTACTAGTTTACACCCCCAGTTACTCTCCCTGCAGATAGGTTAGGGATTTTCATGGGTATGTGTGTTTCTGAGGTAAAATGCACATCATGTAAAGTTCATCATTTCAAAGTGAACAATTCCACAGCATTCACATTTGCTATCTAGTTTCAAAATATTTTCATCACTCCAAAAGCAAAATAACAAAAAACGCACTCATTAATTAAGCAGTCACTCCCCGTCCTCTACCTTTTCTCCTCCCTGGCAGGCACCAAACTGCTTTATGTCTCTATGGATTTGTCTACTCTGGATTTTTATGTAAAAGGAATTAGGCAGGAAAAATTCAAGCCTTTCCTAAGAGTTTTGGCATTGACATTTTAATCATTTTTTAATCATTTTAATCATCAACATCAGTCGTACTGGGACCTAAATTCCTATAACCTGTAAGAAATAATTCTTCAAACAATAAGATAGAATTACACTAATAGAATAAATATGTATGATAAATGAAAAGACAACCCCTTTTCAGAGCTATGAGGGTTGTCAACCACTTTCTCATATGGGCAAAGTACACTGTCTGCCTGTAATATGCTTGTTGTGATACATCTTTCCTTCGTATATCACAACATTTATATAGATCCTAACTTTTCTGTAAGGTGGCAAGGGAGAACAGACATTTCCTCCAAAGGATAGAGACTGTCTTATCTTCATGTCCTAGTACAAGCAAGTCTAGTACAAGTTCTTCTTATGAAAATGTCACCAAGATTTAGAATCTTGGGCATGCCCAGGATTGGATATGGAATTAGATAGAGGCAAAAACACAGTCCCAAACGCCCTGGATCTAGATCCTTGTGCTCTACTCTTTACTACACGATGACTCCCAGTTTGAAGAGCAGGAACTTTATGTCTAAGTGTCTCATACATTTGCTACACAAAGTAAAGCAATGAATGGCCAGATACTTACTGGAGACCTCTTCAGTGGAGGCCTCCTTATCCTCAGATTTTGACAGTCTTCTCTTGAAAACCATTTTGACCACAGTCTTCTGTACCTTAATAATTACTTCCTAGAGCAAAATGAGAAAATTGAAGTTACCTTCTAGAAGCTAAATTCTGAAGAATGAAAGCTATGGCACAGGGAAAACTGCTCTACAACCAGAGTTTAAAAGTTTTTGGTTTTCTTTCTTCCTTTGTGAGACAGGATCTCGCTATGTAGTTCAGGCTGGCCTTGAATTCACTATGCAGCCCAAGATGGCCTGGAACTCTTGGCGATCCTCCTACCTCACCCTCCCAAGTGCTACAGGTTATTTTATTTAATGCTATCTAAATCTAGGTGCTGAGCAAATGTCCATGCCTATATTTAGCCAATACCCACTTCCTTTAAAGGTATGTTTACCTAGTTGCCTCTTTTACCAGACCAGTTAGTAAAGGAAAAAAACCTACAGCTCATCACCTGAGATTCAAGACCCCTTATATAGTACCAATCTACTTTTCTTTACTTCGGTACTATGCTAAGGTCTGTGCTAGGTGCTGGAGCAAAAAACAAAACAGACATGATTCTTGCTCTCAAGGATCATGTTATAACAATATATCTAACTATAATTTTAGAAAAGTACAAGACTACAGTGAAATTTAATTTAGCTGGAGATAGAACTGGGGAAGAAAAGGGGAGACAAACTTTCAAAGAAAATTTTTCAAAGAAATTTTTATTTTATTTTGGTGTCACTAGGGATTGAACCTAGGATCTTATATGTGCTAAGTGAATATTCTATCACAGAACTATACCCTCAACCCAAAAAAAGGTCTCTTTTATTAGCGCGTGCTTGTAATATAGAATTTTTTGTTTTGCTCCTTGTTTTTTAGAATGTTTTGGGGAACTGATACATGTATGTAACATATCCTGATCATTTTCAAACCCTTAACCTTTCTCTCCCTTTTCTACCCCTTTCCCATCTCCAAGTCTCTACCATCTACTTTCTTTATCACCCCACAAAGTCTTTTTTTGTTTTTTGAGAGAGGATCTCGCTATGAAGTTCAGACTGGCCTTGAACTGAGGGCAACCTTTTTCCCTCCACCTTCCAGAGGGCTGGGATTATAGGCACACACCACCACACCCGGCTTCAAAAAGTCATTTTTAAGCAGAGATCTGAAGGCTGAAACAGGAATCTACCAGTAGAAGATGACTGGGAAGAAACTCACTAAAATAGGAAAGAGCCTGCAGAGTTAGAAATGACTCTGCACAAACACGGGACAGCTGGAACTACACAGCTTCCTAGTTTACCTAGTACATCAGAACCTTCCTGTTTCCACTGTCTTTGCACAAGCATTGTTTTCACCTGAAATGCTCTCAGCTGCCTGGAAATTCCTACTCATTCTTAAAGATCTAACAAATATCATTTTCCTTGAAAAATGTTCCTCTAGTATCCCCAAGAAAGAAAGTCTGCTACTCCAGCTTCCCTGTTCCACAGCCCATTGCATCTCATACTGTGGAGCTCCTTGGCAGCAGGAGCCAGTCTTATTTATGTCACTGTTCCTCAGTGCCCAGAACAATACCTGGCATAAAGAAAAAAAATTTGTTTGCAGTACTGGGCAGACTTTTATTTACTTTTGAAATTTTGAGACAGGTTCTCACTAAATTGCCCAGGTTGGCCTTGAACATGTTATCTTCCTCCAGGTACCTGAAATTACAGGAGAGCAGTACCACACATCTAAAGAAAATTTCTGAGAATATTCACTGAGTAAGAATGGCTGGCATCCAGGTGTGGTGGCACATACCTGTAATCCCAACACTTGTGAGGCTCAAACAGGAGGATTGCCAAGAGCTGACTCTGGAGGATCCTCCGCCACCAAGATTGAGGCCAGCCTGGACTACATAGTGAGTTTAAGACCAGTATGAACTACACAGCAAGACCCTGCCTTAAAAGTAAATGAATAAAAAGGAACGGCTGGCAGACCAGGTAAAATACTAACCATTAACAAAAACTGTGTTAAGTGCTTTATACTTCTCACAGAACATTTTTAGGTAGGTACCACTGTTAGTTTTTGTTGTTGTTGTTGTTTTGAGACAGGGTCTCACTACGTAGTTGAGACTGACCTGGAACTATATAGCACAGGCTGGTCTCTAATTCACAGCAATCCTCCTGCCTCAGCCTCCCAAGTGCTGGGATTAGAGGAGTGCACCACCAAGCCCGGCCCCATTGTTAAATCTTGTCATTGTTGGCAGTGAAGGGATCCTAAGAGCAGTGGTTTGCTGGAGAACTTGCACTCTTAACCACCACCTATACGGACTTCACTTTTTCCTTTTTTTCAGTAATGGGGATTGAACCTAAGGCACTGGTGGTGAACTTGTGGTATGCTGTCGCAGCGGGCTGTTTTGTATCATTGAAAGCTCTGTAAGTATCGCCATCACTGACCTAGGGCTTTCACAATGAGCAACATCCTCAGCCCTTTTTATTTGAAGACAGGATCTCCCTAAACTAAGATCCCCACGATGGGCTGGAAATTGCCATCCTCTTGTCTCATCCCCCACAGCGCTGGGATTACAGGCGCGCACTGCCAAACTCAGCTCAACACTTAAAATAGCTACCCCCACTAACGGTTAACGTTTACAATGTATCCAGCACCGTGCCTCGTTTAAAACTTAACAAACACAGTCAGCCATTTTGCTAAGGCAACTCAGAATCGTCCACCGTGGGCACACACCCAACACGTGTGACTCCATTTTGTTTTTGTTCTTTTCCTTAGGCAGAGAAATTATTTTTGAGACGGAGGTTTCACTGTGTAGTTCAAGCCGGCCTTGAACTCCAGGTGATTCTCCAGTCTCAGGCTCCCAAACAGTGATTACAGGAGTACCCCACGACAGCCAACTATCCTCGGCTGTTTTTTTGTTGTTTTGTTTTTTGGAAACAGGCTGGTCTCGAACTCGTGGCAATTCTTCTGCCTCAGTCTCCCTAGTGCTGGGGTTAGAGCAGTCACCTGGATCAAGCTACCCATTTCTCTCTCCCTCTTTCCCCTTCCCCCCTCCCCCGCTCTCTTTTCTTTGTACTGGGGACTCAACTCAGGGCCTCCGCACTGAGTTACTCCCCCGGGACCCCCGCACGCCATTTTCTTTTTTCTGTAGAGAGGGTCTAGCCAGCTAAATTACCCAAAGCTGGCCTTGCTGGCCTCCCGTTTCAGCCTCCCGGAGTGCTGTGATCACAGGCGCGCGTCACAACCGGCTAAACACCCGCGTCGGCTCGTCATTTTAACAACACAAGCTGGTACCTGAGCGATGGCCAGATGAGGAAGCCAAGATTCGAGGCTCAGAGCTCCGGAGGGAAGGGCTGCGACCGGCCTGAGCCGGCAGACCCGCGGGGAGCGAAAACTCTAGACCTTCGCAGCCTCTCCCCTTCAGACTCTGGAAGCAGTCCCCGCCCAGAGGTTTCGACTTTCCCGCGAGACAGGCGCCGTTGTGACGCCAAGCGCTGTGACGTCACACCAGCGCGCCGGAAGTCGACGCTCGACGGCCCAGCTGGAAGCGCGTCCGCCGGGAGGGGGGCTGCTGTGGATTACCGGCCGGCCAGCCTGAGCGGCGTGAGGAGGCCCCGGAGCGGACCGAGGCAAATTCCACTCCCCGCGGCCTCTCTCAGCGAAGATGGCGGGGCCGGAGTTGTTGCTGGACTCCAACATCCGCCTCTGGGTGGTTCTTCCCATCGTTATCATCACTTTTTTCGTAGGCATGATCCGCCACTACGTGTCCATACTGTTGCAGAGCGACAAGAA